CACCAATCCAACATAATTTTTGAAATGGCCAATCCAGATCATCAATCTATTTTTTTTTAGACCTTCCTTTTTAAACCTTCCTTAAAATAGATCTTGACATGTGAGGCGATTAGATATAACTGCTCCAAGTCCCAAATACACATTTTGTACTAGATCATAAAAAATAAAAAAAAATTAAAAGAAGAGAAAATATCTCCATATCCCCTTTCATTTCACAATAGACCCAAGGTTTTAAAAGATATCTTGGGGCATAAGTAGATTTTTATTTCTTCTGAGCTAATTTAAACTTGTTTTTTTAGGCCAACAAATCTAAAAAGACATGTTTTTTTTTGGAAAAATATCTTATTATCCCCTATTTTTAACTTCTATATCTCATTAGACCAAAGAATTGAAAATATTACTTGTAAGCAAAATGACTCCATCTTTTTTATCTTCCAATCCCCTAAACCCTTTTGACCATGTATTATTGACCTCAACAACTAATGGAATAACGCTATCTCTTTCTTTCTCATCATCTCTTTCTCAAAACTCCATCTCTCTCTCTCTTAAAATGTTCATCTCTCTCCCTAAAACTCAAACTCTATCTCTCTCTAAAACCCAAACTCTTTCTCTCTCACACACATAAGAAGGTGTGCTTGTGTTTGAGCTCAAGCTAAACCCCTTGGCTGGTAAACTCACCGAGAAGTGAAGAGAGAGAGATGGAGTTTTTAGAAGGAGAGAGATGGTGTTTGAATAGGGTATCATTTTTGTTTGGGTAAAAAATTTATAATCAAAAGGGTCTATGGGGTTGTAAGATAGAAAAGATGGAGACCTTTTGCTTAAAAGTAATATTTTCAATTATTGAGTCTCATGAGATATGAAAGTTAAAAATGGGGGATAATGAGATATTTTCCCTTTTTCTTATAAAAGCCATCCTCCCAAAATTCTAGAGAGAGAGAAGGGCCGCATGAGAGGACCAAGAGGAGAGAGATGTGTTTGAAGGGACACGAGAGGAGAGAAGTGAGACATGCATGAAGAGAGAGAAAGAGATAAATTTGGGATAGATAAGTGAAGAGAGAAAAGATTGGGTTTAGAAAGAGTATGTCTTTCTCACATTTGTTTAGGTTAAAAAATAGGTTTAAAGTGATTAGGAGATTTGAAGATATCTTTTGAAGTATTTGGTTTATCAAGAAACGAAACTTAAAAATAGGGGATACGAAGATATTTTCCAATATAAACAAAAAGTAAGACGCATTTTTTAAATTAAAAGGGAAAATTACAAAACCCCCTCCCCCAAGTATAATATCTATGCAACGTACCCCAAGCTAACGTTTCCTCTCACTTTTTTCCCCACAACTACCTTTCCTCTCAAAAAACCCCAAGATAAAAAGTTGTTATTTTTTGGATGGAAATGCCCTTTCAGTACAAAAAAAAAGTCAATTGGCAGTCCAAGTTGCATATTGTTGGAGCGACCAATTCAACCGCTGGAGCGATGTGGCTCTAGCAGGTGTACTGCCGGAGCGCATCTTTGTATTGTCGGAGTGCTTGTCTTCATTGTCAGAGCAACCTATTCAACTGCTAGAGCGTATGTCTTCATTGTCGGAGCGACTCTGCATTGCTAGAGCATGTATCTTCATTGCCGAAGCGACCCTCTCCATTGCTGGAGCGCATGTCTTCATTGCCGGAGCGACCCTCTGTATTGCTGGAGTATGTGTCTTCATTGCTGGAGTGACCCTCTGCATTGCTGGAGCGGGTGTCTTCATTGCCGGAGCGACCCTCTGCATTGCTGGAGCACGTGTCTTCATTGCCGGAGCGGCCGTCTGCATTGCTGGAGCGCCTGTCTTCATTGCCGAAACGACTTAGAGCGCGTGTCTTCATTGCCGAAGCGAGTCTCCGCATTGATGGAGCGCGTGGGTAAAACGCATGGGGAGAGAGTCGTGAGTAAAAGTCACATGAAGAGAGAGGGGATAGTTTAGTCTCTTTTTTTCTTTTTTTCTGAATTGGGGGGTATTTGCGAGGAAAGGTGGTTGTGGAGAAAAAATGAAAAGAAGGTTAGCTCGAGGTAAGTTGTTTGCAATTTCGGATACCGCCTCTTCTATGGAATTGACAGGATTTGGAAGATGGTACAAACCCTATTCGGAAAAATTTTGAAGTTGTTCAAATGATGCACACCAAAAGCGATTGTTGGACTTGGAACATGGTACAATATGATCGGAGAAGTTGTTCAAATGATGGACACCAAAAGCGATTGTTGGACTCGGAACATGGTACAATTGCTTTTAGGGAATGATCGGGTGTGTAATCAATATATCACTTTTTATACTATTAAAGATTTCTTTTATCTGATTGATTGTTGGTGGTCTCACCAATACCCGTATCAGATCGATGGATCGGTTCGGAGAATTGGTTGAATAGACAATTTTTGTCCTAATTGCTTTTCAAAAAATTTCTAAAAATGTTTTTTTTAGTTTTTAAAGTAAAATTAGGAGTGGAAATAATTTGTATAATAATATTTTTTAGTTTTCTTTTGTCCATTTTACATGGGCAAAGCACAAACGTGCATATATATATATATATATATATATGAGAAATGATGGGATTAACCCACTAGCTCATATGAACATATGAGCCCAACGACCCATATTGAATTTGAGCCGATTTGACGATCCCAGATGCCCGATAGTGTTCTCAACACATAGAGGCAAAAATAAATAGTGATTTTACCTACCCTCATCACCGTCCAAATTTCATTACGCGGTCACGATTGTCTGGTAGTTTTTATTTTTCATTTTTTTTTCTACAAATCAGAATGACCTGAAATTTGAAAGGTATATACATCTTACTGAAGCACATCTAATAAAAATATGAAAAAAATTATCCGTAAAAAAATTACCAAAATACCTCCGAAACTTTTGAAAAACATTTTGGTCAATTTTTTCATGTAAAATATTCTTTTTATTTTTCGAAGATTCCCCTATTTTTGAACGTTTTAAATTTCAAGTCAGTCTGATTTGTAAAAAAAAAATAAAAAATGAAAAATTACTAAATAATCATAACTGCACGATGAACTTTGTACGGTGATGAAAGTAGAAGAAATCACTGTTCATTTTTCCCTATAGGCTATGCGTAGTGTTTT